AGGTGCCTTAATGAAACACATTTTGGGTAGTTTTGGCGTTCAAAGAATTTAGTGAAATGTGGCAACGTCGCTTCTAAGCGAGACAACCGGGGGTGTTGACCTACACCAGTTGATGTTAATCACTCTCCATGTAATTTTCGGAGAAGGAAAGAGGCCTTAATGGCTCGCCACACCATGTTAAATGTTGACGGCTTCGTAATACAGGGCCAGAAAAGGATCTCGGAAATAATAACTATTTTTATTTTTAGTTTTACATCAGTAGTAGCGCCTAAGGTTCAACACTGATGCACAAGATTTTTAAATGTATTTAATTTTTTGCTTTGTCTGGTGTTCACTGGTAGAGACCTGCATGTCTTCACACATCCGCGATAAGACCCTTTTTGCAGAAATGCATAGGAACACGTAGGTTCGCTCCGAGACAAGAATTGTTTCGAAGTTTTGCTCCAAAAAGGGTTAAATTTTCGAAAAATCGCGAGTGTTACCCACAGTTCCTTGTTTAGTTTTAAAACGTTGAATTATTAATGGCGAAGGAAGTTCCAGAAGTTAACGTAAGGAATGTGTATTTTTACAGACGCGTTGAAATTTGCACCCCATATGGAAGACACTCGTAACTGAAAATCCTGAAAGGTTCACTGAAAACGCACAAAAGTTTGATTTTTCCAAGCCTGTGAATRGCGGTCCAAAATGAACACTTAACAGCAGTCAAAATTGTTAATTTTTCGACCAACATTCACAAGTTACGGAAAAATCAAGGCCTTGCCCGATTTGAGTGAAATGTTGAGGATTTTTAGCTACAAGTGTCTTTTATAGGTTGTGCGAATTTCAAGTTGCTTCCTGCTTTTGGTTGCAAGTTACGAATTTTTAAAGGAAGACGTGCAGCTGAACAAAAACGTTCATTTTTCGACCAACATTCACAAATTACGGAAAAATCAAGGCCTTGCCCGGTTTRAGTGAAATGTTGAGAGTTTTTAGCTACAAGTGTCTTTTATAGGTTTCTGCGAACTTCAAGTTCCTCTCTGCTTTTGGTTGTAACTTACTAATTTTTAAAGGAAGACGTTTAGCTGAACAAAAACGTTCATTTTTCGACCATCATTCCAAATTACGGAAAAATCAGGGCTTTGTCCGATTTGGGTGAAATGTTGAGGGTTTTTAGCTACAAGTGTCTTTTATAGGTTGTGTGAATTTAAAGTTCCTTTGTGCTATTGGTTGGAACTTACGAATTTTTAAAGGAAGAGGTGCAGCTGAACAAAAACGTTCCTTTTTCGACCACCATTCACAAATTACGGAAAAATCAGGGCCTTGCCCAATTTGAGTGAAATGTTGGGAGTTTTTAGCTACAAGTCTCTTTTACGGGTTGTGCGAACTTAAAGTTCCTCTCTGCTTTTGGTTGTAACTTACTAATTTTTAAAGGAAGACGTTCAGCTGAACAAAAACGTTCATTTTTCGACCATCATTCACAAATTACGGAAAAATCAGGGCTTTGTCCGATTTGAGTGAAATGTTGGGAGTTTTTGGCTACAAGTCTCTTTTACGGGTTGTGCGAACTTCAAGTTCCTCTCTGCTTTTGGTTGTAACTTACTAATTTTTAAAGGAAGACGTTTAGCTGAACAAAAACGTTCATTTTTCGACCATCATTCACAAATTACGGAAAAATCAAGGCCTTGCGCGATTTGAGTGAAATGCGGAGAGTTTTTAGCTACAAGTGTCTTTTATAGGTTGTGCGAACTTCAAGTTCCTCTCTGCTTTTGGTTGGAAGTTACGAACTTGAACAAAATGACCAACAATTGAATTGATCTTATGCTTAAGGYTGTATTAAAGCTGCCAAATTTCACTGCGTAAGTTCCATCGAAGCTTGTATTACATCTGATTTCCACCWCATTAACAGCACGTCKCAAAAATTAATTTTTACACTGTAAAATGCAGCTACTTACCGATTAAAGAAACGCGCACTATCACTAAACTTTGTTATTTAATGACCGATTATCAATGTGCCACTGTACTGTTCTATTGACGGTAGTACGAAACCGTTTCACCATGTTTAATCAGAGATAAAGTAGAAGAAACAAGCGTTTCTACATGCTCGCTAAAACAAACGTACGTTCACTGAACTTAAATATTAAATATCAGCGCATAGCAATAATTTTCTTGATAACGTTTTATCTGCCTTATTTACATCTCTAAGCTGCTCGGGATATTTTCTTTTCAATGATAAAGAATTTTTATTTTTCGAATATATATTATATACTAATTTCGAAACGCTTTCAATTTAAAAATATTTTTTTCCCGAAACATACGAATTATGGAAATAAATGCGCGCTTTATTGAGGTAATTCAGTCTAATGCTTCTTTAGCAAGTACATAATTGATTTTTCATTAAGCAACCAGAAGGGAACAGATTTGGTTAGAATAAATTGAATTCTTCGGATCTCATAGCCATAACCGTTTGTTACATTCTGTAGGTACCTAAACAATAATTTAAAAAAATATTGCATTGCTGGTTACAATCCGATCTTGACTGACTGATGAATGAGGAACTTGAAAATTCTGCTTCAGTTCGTGATTTAAAGTTATATTAATTTATCTCTCATGAGTGTGCTTTTCTATTTTTTTCCAACTGATCAACATTGACAAACATTTCATTTTGAACATACAGCAATAAAAAACAAGACTACATTGCAACTGGAAAGACAATAAACAGATGCTGATGACCCGAATAGAAATCAAAATAATTTAAAAAGAAATCTGGTTAAAGATATCAAAGCTTTGAAAACGCGATTGCTAACTTCAGTACAATTATCAAAGAGCCACTAAAACTATATTTATCTATAAAGTGTGTTTTCCGGCTTAGATAGAGCAAACGCTCAGATATTCAAGCGCTGGGTATAATCAATCGTCTTCATCAAGGGGTGCTGTGCGTTTCCGCCCATCCGGTGGATCAATAAACACCCTCCGTCTGCCCTTGTTTGCAACAAACCCACGTAAACGACCCTGAGCTTGAACTGTTTTCTTTATTTGGCTCAGAGCAAGACTCAAAAGTAAAAACAAGCCATAGTCGGTCGGTATTAAGACTGCCAGTTTCTTTACTGGAATTTTGCTAAAATTTTAATTTAATGTTTTTAGACGAATGTATCTCATATATGTAGGTTTGACGCCAGTTATTTCTAAGATAGAGTTAAAAATGATAATGGTAATAACGGGAAAGTTAAATCAAATATCAGGATTCTATTTAGCATTGGGAACAGTTCATCTCTTTGTAGATCTTTTACATAAACCAATAGTTTTTGCAGCT